TGATAATAAACCATGATGTACAAAATTGAACACACACATAGATATAAATAGCTAAAACCTAATACCCCTTCCTATTTTCCCCACAACAATCCTGTGAGGTCATGTTATATTAGTTCTCACTTTGTTCAAGTTAGCAAGTGCTCTATCCATTTGTATTAAGAGTATTAAAACAAGGTGGTGGGATAGCAATGCCAACTTCCATCATATGGTCCCATAATGGCATTTTGGAACTGGCAGCAAACAGTCTAGGATCTAGTCTATAAGGGAGTACTTTATCACGGACAAACTATTCAAAACCAATTCAAAAATCACAAGCTATAATGTAGCTTGGTTCTAGCTTAGTATAGTATGTCAAACCAGCTATGGTCACCATAATCCATGGTTTATGGTTGAATTCCGAAAGAACCCAATTAACTGATGAGCTAATGCAAGAAACCAGTACAGTAGTTTCGTAATGTATAAACTCAAGGTAATTTTGTTATAAATTTAACCAAAGATAAGGGTTTATTTTCTACTAGAAAGCATTTTAAGTTTTAAAATGATCATAACCTTTAAAAAGTGACAAAATATTCAAAACTCATCATAATGCATACACAACAACCTTCTGGTTTCTTTTGGGTAAGTCCAACTTTTGAAGCAGTATTAACCAAGTTTACAAATTAACAAAACAATGCAAAATCTTTGAAAAATATTTATTACAGATTAATTTTAGTCAAATAATCCAAAACCCATATCATCATCAGATTCTTCAGACTCTTCTTTCTTTTCCTCTTTCTTTTCTTCCGCTGAAAAGACATAAAGTCAATTAGTCAAGAATTTTGAATGCTACAAACATATAGGTTTATTCTACGTAAAGCTGCCTTCAAAGTAAGACATTAAGAATAACCAATAATTAGGATTTAGAACAAATGTACCAAGTCAGAAAATGGATTTGCTGACAGGATTAAGCTCAAGCACAGAATGTCCTGTGTATAAATGTATCGGCTTTTTACTATCATGCACCAATAAAGGAATAATAGAAATGGCTGGATACCTACAGTATAATTTCAAAATGTTGTATAATTAGAAGTGAACAATTTAAACTGCTGAAATATTTTGCCTTATAACAATTTTTCAGAGATTAGCATGTTCCTAAAAATAGCTTTTTATATAGAACTATTCATGTTTGTCTTTAAATACAACAAGG